TGTCGGGTGACTACCTCTATAATAGGGATATGTTCAGGGATAAGAGGATTACCTTATCACTAAGTAGGCAACGTTCAAATACTTTCTCGACATATGCATGATGTTCAGCAACAGCATCATTCAGGTTTTCTGCCTTGAATAGAAAATAACATGAACGTATGGTAACAAAAAGTAGAGGAAAAGCCATATTATTACTCACCTTTAAAAATGCTTCATTAAATTCTAGCCCAGTGACGTGAAGAATCTTGATAAAAACAAACAAACTATAATTTCTTCCTTTGTTACTCATAATGACTTCATACGAAATATCTGAAGTTAGTTAGCTGTCTTTTCTTACGAATGTATAGGMTCATCCATAATTCTCTCATAATTTTAGCATAAATTAATTACATTTACATTCAATRGATATGAGCTACCATCGCTCTCTGATTGACTACTTTTCTACTAGGACATCAGTTCATGACCCATGAAAACATAAGAGAATAACAGTCCTGCACACTCTTACTCACTCTGGTCATGATGTAGTTGTGAAGACTATTTACAAAATGCAATAATCGAAATCTTAGAATGTACATCTTTTGCATTAAATCCTGGTTGACGTTTTGGATCAGCGCTRCAGGAGCTGAGTTTTTTTCTTCCTCTTCGTCACTAGATGCTACACAGACGTTCGTTTTGCCAGAAAGGTCTACAATACACAATAGTTTAAGTCAATGGTCATCGTGATTAACAGGGGAGTTTGACAAGAAGAACGATATTAAGAACGTGTTCCAAAACCAGCGTGTTTTTCGCTTGTTGCTAACTGCAATTGCAGTCAACTTACAATTCAGTACAAAACACGGACTCAATATTGYAATCGTTGTTAAAGCGACCTATCAAATAATATCAGCATTTATCATATCATATTCAGAGAGGGTGGCATATAAGTTTASTTTGAAAACAACCGATTGACACGCTATATACACCCAAAACCACTACTGACAATGGATGTTTTAGTAGTAGCTTACAGGTAGTTCTTGACTAAGGGAGCAAGGATGAGAACCAMGCAGGCTGCAAACTCAAAAAATCATATTGCAACAGAAGTGAAAATACAAAAATGTTGCCATCTCAAACATTCATTCAACTAGTAAGGTGTTGTCCAAAACATTACCTGTAAATCGCAGGGAGTCGAGCGTCCACTTGACCTGTTTTACACTGAGCAGGAAAAGAAAAACTTGATTGTACTTTGTAAGACAAAACTCATCAATCACCAAGCTTACGGGCCATGGAACCTTTAAATAACACAAAAACACATTAAAATAGCTTTGAAATTACTCACTGAGTAGRTATTAGGATTTTCGCTTGTATCAYAGAGTTTGAATTGTGCAACGGTCATATAAGAAAAAGKAWAATTAAGCAGCAATCTTAGTCGCAGCCGTTCTTAGTGACCTCTGCGATGCCAACTATTTTTTTCGGGCGATACATTTATTAATAATCAATTAGATTATTATTCGTTCACTGCGACTATCACATTTCCTTACACTTATTTATCGCAGTTCAAACCAGCATTTTAACACTCATTTCTATCTATGTATGGGTTCACCCAATATAATCAGCGCCCACCAACATACTTGGCTTCATAGCTCAGTTGGTAGAGCACTGCATCGGCATCGCAGAGGTCATGGGATCGATTCCCGTTAAAGCCCGAAATTTTTTCGGGAGATATATTTATTAATATGATAATATTTTTCTTTCACTGCGACGATCACATTTCCTTACACTTATTCACCGCAGTTCAAAACAGCATTTCAACAAAGATTCTTTAAGAAGACAAACTTTTGAATGCGTTGTGACATTGACACTTAAAGTACGACAATCAAATTATGCTTCACGTTTTCCCACGACTGTTGAAATTTTGTGTCGTTAAATAACTAGCTGCAAGTTACTGGAAAAAGTGAAGCCAGACTTTTGATTGGTCAATAGACATAATCGGCTAACGGCGTTGCTATGTACCTTGCCGCCCAATTCAAATCCTGTGGGAAAAAGAACTTTTGTTTCTAAGAATTCAACTCTTAAATGAAAATACAACTAACAATGAAACTTACTCTCGGGTGGTTTGAATTGGGTTGAAGCCGATTAGGTCTATTCCATAAAAAGTCAAAAAGTCATTCTGACATGAGTCGGCAAATCTGCTTTGGCAAAACCACATGCAGAATGCACATGCACCCAGTCGTTACTCTTCCTTTTTTCTCTGGCGCGCGTGAAGGATGAAGGGAAGTGGGAAGAATAAGCAGTAGTAGTGGTAGTCCGGACTTCCCTTGATGCAATACGACCCGTAAAAGGAGCAAGAAAACAACTGGGTACGTGTCTGCCACATGCACCATTTGAAAGCTTTTGTGATCAAAAGCTTGGATATAATTCAAATCATAGTTTTAAATATAGCAACTATGTTCAAATGATAGAGCAATAATAATCACAAAGTAAACGGTTCAAATTTTAGTAAGTGTGCAGCTTTATATTTCCAGTGTTTTTTAAAAAACGTTAAAAATAGCTTAAAAAGGCCAATGCATGGCAACTATCAGCATAGCCGGTGAGCCGGTCATGCTCCTATAGACTTATGAAAAACCATATTTATCTTACCTTGTAGTGCATGGTCATGTTATGCAGTCCCTGTATGCTACTTTGCCTACTTTCACTTGGTGAAAAGCTTACTGTCAATCTATATCAAACAATTGTTGAGTGCGCATAGGATGATAAGAATTTTAGGCTGTGCCTGTGGTTTACATTATTATAGCATCTTGCTCAAGCACACAACCCAAGCAAAAACAACCCTGGCCAGAAATCGCAGACCTAAGAACCTGATTCAGGGACCTGACTTATATATGAATCAGGTTTGCCTAGTTGACCTGGTTGCTTTGTCTTCTTGTGAAAAAAAACAACAAAAAAAGAAACCAACTCTGTAACCGATTCTGCCAATTTCATATAATCAGCCCAGGCCCTATATGAGTTCAACATGCTGACCATTATATTTCATATAATCAGGCCCTATATGAGTTCAACATGCTGACCATTAGTTTAGGTCATCTTGTCGTTTCCTTCACTTAGTTAAGGTAATAAAAATAGCAAACATCTATCAAGCATCCTGATCATTTTTGTTGTTTCTTAATTTCTTTTCAGGTTTAAGACCTTTTTACCTGTCTATGTAATGTGGGTAGAATGTAAGTAGAGCCTCTTGAAGGTGCGCGTTCAAGTAAGACACATCTTGCCACGGTTGCCGACGACGGATCTAAAATCATTAAGTACAATTTATAAGGAAAATTCTTTGTAAACGATGTGCGAAGAAGTCTTTGCAAAAATCTTGAGCATGTTAATCTCAGAATCGTGAAAGTGGCTTCTCCCGCTTTTTGGTCGGTGCGCACCATGTCTCAATGCTTGCACTCATTTTAATTACACATGACAGGGTGTTTATATTAGGGACTATATATGACTWATATGGGATTCATCTTCTACCAGTCGTTACTTTTTCTCTGACTACCCATCAACCATTTCGAGCGTAGCAMCGAAAAAACTTACTATTTTTGCTTGTTAAATACCTTTTTGAATATGTCCAGATAAAAATGAAGCATAGTAGATCCTGCTTCAAGTAAGAAAACGTTCTGCAATAAAACAATCCACAAAATCACAAAAGATCTTAAAAACAAATTAACTCGATTCTACTGATATCATCATTGTAGATACACCTACTTGAAGAAACGTTGTCATAGAAAATAGAACATTCGAATTTAGTAAAAAGGAATAAATCAAAACAAGACAAACGAAAGCGTTCAGCCTCAGTGATCTTCTTTTGTCTTTTTAATTTATTCCTTTTTACTAAAATACAAATGTCCTATTTTTTATGACAACGTTTTCGCAAGTAGGTGTATGTGAAAAGATCAAATTTTCATATTTTATAAATAATTTGATTTGAGCTGATTTGTAAAAAAAAGTTCTGATACGTTAACTTACTCTCATAGCATCAAGATGTTCCATTAAATCGAAGTCTGATTTTAAGAGTGACACTAGTGCATTACAGGCCTGTTGAAGAAATGAATGAAATTTCAAAATATATGAACACCAAAAAACACATAGAAAAGATAGAAAAGACAGTCAAACTTAAAAAATACGCAAAGGAATTCTGCTCATGATGTTAAAACAATGTTTCAAAGGTCGATATTGAGGCCTGGAAAGATTTGATAACTGAACCTTAGGATAACGAACAAGAAATGGAAACACAAATCAGATAACGAGTAARCGAGGCATTCATGTCTTCTTTTTTGTAGCATCAATAATAATAAGCTGCTGCTGCTGGGTCGCGGTTACCTAACGGTTAGATGATGGCTGCCTGGTTTAACGGATTGCTTGCGGMTAGCTCGCTTCTTTTCACATAATAAAGCGGATTTCGTATGAGTGRGAAACGGACAGTATTGTACTGTGACCGTAATCGCACTGTAACCAAATTCTAGTGCCCCATTGGTTCACAAAAATTGTTCAGGCCAGGTCCGGTAACTGTGCGGTAACGGTGTCCCACTCATACGAAATCCGCKCTATGATGCATTGCATTCRCATTATTATGACATTCTCTCGTCATCCATATGCTCTTCTAATCTGTATTTCGATGCATTTTTTTTACATCGTTTTACGTATCAATGAATCAATATAACTATTAGACTCGAGTAAAAATATTTCAAAATTACAGAATTTTAGAAGTGGAAGCCATAGGATTAATGTTAATTCGCGAGAAAAGTATTCCCAAAGAATAAGGAGATTATTGYTGAGATAATGAATCAAGGGTTCGGCCACAAAATGATATGACCAATAATTACAAGCTAACCTGGCTGCACTTGGCTTGCAATAGTGGCAAAAGACTTTGTGAAAAATGGACCTCAAAGGGTGTCATACAATCCTGGGGATCTAATAAAAATATACTGCTGTATCAAGAATTGGAGTTGCCCGGAGGATGGGACTCCGAGGTAAAAGTACCGGGGATGCTCGTCGAATMTCTTAGGGGTAAAAATTCGTGAATRCTCGTRGAAATCTTTTAGGGTGCCAATTTGGAGTTTCTGGATATTTKCTTTTTCTGCATCTCTTACGGTGTCGGACAAGATGAGAAAAAGCGCATCGATGTTGATTTCCCTCTGCGTTTTTATCATTGGAACTGATTTAATTTAACAATATTCGTTGTCAGCCAGCCACGCCCTTTTTTCAAGACTTCCGAGATCTTTTAGGGGTCTTTTCAAAAATATTTTGACGAGCATCCCCGGTCCCCCCACCTCGGGAGGAGTTGCAATGTGTATTCACAGTTAGTAGGTCTGTATTCTCAWGTCAACAACTGTATTGGATATTGGTTAAATGTTGCTAACAAAAACCAGAATAACTCTGACTTGTTCGTAGCTGCATCACCAATTGTTTCAATCAAGAAATTACAGCACAATTGACGAGTTTCGCCATCTCCTTTTTGCTGTGTTAGCCTCAATTGCGTGCAAAATATTCAGAAATTTAAATAAAACTCGTGAAATTTCAAACTATTTCCATTGTCTTCTATACTCACGAATCTCTTGCATTTGCACAGGCTGTTTGTGAATAAAAGAATTTATTACATGGTTTTGAGTCTAACACAGCGTAAAAGAGATCGCTAAAAGGGTATATTGGCTGCTATGTACTGAAATAAAGGAATCTTAGTTCGTGTGTTAGCTTGTGTGTTAGTACAATAAGAGTTATGTCATCGACCGTACAGTTCATGTAATTCCTTAGAGATTTGTATTATGTATAAATGTAGTTCAAAGTTGTTCAATAAAGGTATCATAATATTGTTGTCTTCAACGGCTATTACATTGGCCTAGCCACAAAACATGTTACAAAACGCTAAGGAATTCTGTTTTTTTTTTTATGAAAAAAACCCCCGAAACATGAGAATGTAATAAAAATCCCTTTCACATCTCTACTGAAGACATGTTCACCAACTTTTTTGATTGGGCTGCGCTCATAATGTATCCCAATTGAGGGGGGGGGAGGGGGGACAGGGGGGGTTAATGAACGGATTAAATGCCATATTAGTTTATAGAGAACATGGTAAAAAACAACAAGTAACTTATCATTGTCTTTTTTATCATTTTCATCATCAACAATTTCATCATCAACTTCATCATCATCA